CTAACTAACGTACTACTTACTACTACTTACTTTATTAGAGTATATATATATATATATATATATATATATATATATATAATAGTTTCAAAAAATACAATTGTAAGGCATGCTAAAATGTAAAAAAGACATGCTGAAGAGACAAAGCAAGCTTCAGAACCAGATGTACAAATGGCAGAGATTTTGGAATTATCAGACCAGCAATTTAAAATAACTATGATTAAAATGCTAAGGGCTGTAAGGGAAGAAATGGACAACATGCAAAATCAGGTGGGTAATATAAGCAGAGAGATGAAAATTCTAAGAAAGAATGAAAAGATGTAACCTATGTGTAAACAGAAATACTCAAAAGAGGATAGAGAAAGGAATGGAGGAAATATTTGAAGTAATGATGACAGAAAGTTTTAAAATAAAACATACACCAAATGATGAACTCCAAGAAGCTCAGAGAACAACAAGCAGGATAAATTTTTTTTAAAAGTCTACACCTAGGCATATCACAGTCAAACTATAAAAACTCAAAGACAACAAGGAAATCTTAACAGGACTAAGACAGAGGTGAGGGGAACTTTACCTATAGAGGAACAAGGATAAGAATTACATAGGATTGCTCTTCAAAAACCATGCAAGCAAGAAAGAGAGTGGAGTGAGATGTCCAAAGTACTGAAAGAAAACAAACAAACAAACTAGAATTCTGTATCCAGCAAAATTATCCTTCAAAAGAAAAGGAGAAAGACCCAACTTCATGTTGTCTAAAATAAACCCACTTTAAATATAAAGTAATAGATAAATTAAAAGTAGAGATAGGGGAAGTTATACCATAACACTAATTAAATGAGAACTGGAATAGCTATATTAATTTCAAACAAAACTAATTTCAGTGCAAGAAACATCATGTACACACAAACATCCTATTTACAAGACCAAAAATAAACTATCTTAGAAATAAATCTGATAACTGATCTACAGACACTAAAAAGCAAATTTTGATATAAAACAGAACCTAAATAAATGGTATATCTATACCATGTTAAAGAAATAGGACTCCACATGTTGAAGATATCAATTCTCTACAGAATAACCTACAAATTCAATGCAATTATAATCAAAATCCTATACTTCTAAAATAAAACTTGACAAGATCATTATAAAAATCAAATAGAAGGACTCCATGTTAGAGTTTGTATTTGAGAATAAATTGGGGCTCTCCCTTGCTAGGCATCAAGATCTCATATAAAACAATGTATTAATGTAGTGTGCTATTGGCTAAGGTTATACAAATAGGTCAAAGATCAGAATAAAAAGCCCAGAAACATATCCATGCATATACAAAAGAGCTGGCATTACAGATCAAAAAAAGTAAATGGCGGATTATTCAATATATAGTGCTGAGACAAGGGATTATTTATTATAAACAAAATATGATATTGGAGACCTACCTCACATCTTATTCAAAAAAAAAATCTGCCAGTGAATTAATGGACTAAATGTGGAAAAAAGTCTTTAAATCTTTTACAAAGAAAACAGAAACATTTTATAAAAAATATGTTTATAATCCTGGTATAACTTTAACTGTTACAATAAATAAAATACATCAAATAAAACGTATTTGACTACAAAGAAAAACATTGATAAAATTACAAATTCTATTCATTAAAAGACACCATGAAAAAGTTAAAGGAAAAGCCACAGATTAGAGGATACATGCACTACATTGCACTACATACAGGCATACCTCAAAGATATTGTGGGTTTGGTTCCAGACCACCACAAAACAGCAAATATCACAATAAAGTAAGTTACACAAATTTTTTGGTTTTCTAGTACCTATAAAAGTTATTTTTACTGTAGTCTATTATACAATAGCATTATGTAAAAAACAAAACAATGTACGTATCTTAATTAAAAATACTTCATTGCTAAAAAATGCTAACCACCATCTGAGCCTTCAGTGAGTATAATATAATATATAATCTTTTTGCTGCTGTGGAGTCTTGCATTGATGTTGATGGTTGCTGAGGGATTAGGCTTGTCACTGTCGAAGGCTGGGGAGGCTATGGCAACTCCTTAAAATAAAACAATGAAAGTAAGCTGCATCGATTGACACTTCTTTTCATGAATTATTTCTCTGAAGCATGCAATGCTCTTTGATAGCATTTTACCCAGAGCAGAATTTCTTTCAAAATTGGAGTCAATCCCCTCAAAACCTACTGCTGCTTTATCAACTAAGTTTAAATAATATTCTCAATCTTTTGTTGTCATTTCAACAATTTTTACAGCATCTTCACCAGGAGTAGATTCCATCTGAAGAAACCACTTTTCTCATCCATAGGAAGCAACTCCTCATCTGTTATTTGAAGTTTGATCATAAGAATGCAGCAATTCAGTCACATCTTCAGGCTCCACTTCTAATTTTACTTCTCTTGCTATTTCTAACACATCTGCAGTTGTGTCTTGCCCTGAAGTTTTGAACCTTTCAAAGTCATCCTTGAGGGTTGGAATCAACTTCTTCCAAATTCCTGTTAATGTGGATATTTTGATCTCTTCCCATGAATTATAAATGTTGTTATTGGCATCTAGAATGGTGAATGCTTTCCAGAAAGTGTTCAATTGACTTTGCTTAGATCCATCAGAGGAATCACTATGCATAGCAGCTAGAGCCTTACTTAACTTACTTCTTAAAGAAAAAGGCTTGAAAGTCAAAATGACTCCCTTGATTTGTGGGCAGCAGAATGGATGTTAGCAGGCTTGAAAAAAATATTAGTTTTGTTGTATATCTCCATCAGGTCACTTGGGTGACCAGGTGCATTGTCAGTGAGCAGGAACGTTTTGAAAAAAAATTTTTTTTCTGAGCAGTAGATCTCAACAGTTGGCTTAAAATATTTAGTAAACCACGTTGTAAATAGGTGGGCTGTCATCTAGGCTTTGTTCCATTTATGGAGCACAGGCAGAGCAGATTGAGCATCATTCTTGAGGGCTCTAAAGGTTTTCAGAATGGTAAATCAGCATTGCCTTCAACTTAACATTACCAGCGGCATTAGCCTTAACAAGAGGGGTCAGCCTGTCCTTTGAAATCGGGCATTAGCTTCTCCTCTCTAGCTATGAAAGTCCTAGATGGCATCTTCCAACATAAGGCTGCTTCATCTACGTGGAAAATCTGTTGTTTAGTATAGCCACCTTCATTAATTATTTTAGCTAGATCTTCAGGATAACTTGCACCTTGCATTTTCATGTTCTGGAGATGGTTTCTTTCCTTAAACCTCATGAACCAAGTGCTGCTAGCTTCAAATTTTTCTTCTGCAGATTCCTCACCTCTCTCAGCCTTCACAGCATTGAAGAGAGCTGGCCTTGCTCTGCATTAGGCTTTGGCTGAAGGGAATGCTGTGGCTGGTTTGATCTATCCAGACCACTACAACTTTCTCCTTATCAGCAATATGGTTGTTTTGCTTGTTTATCATTCATATGTTCACTGGAGTAGCACTTTTCTTTTCCTTCAAGAACTTTTTCTTCTCATTGACAACTTGGCTGTTTGGCACAAGAGGTCTAGCTTTTGGCCTACCTCAAATTTTGACACACCTTCATCAGTACTAAGCTTGACCATTTCTAGCTTTTGATTTAAAGTGAGAGATGTGCAACTCTTTCTTACACCTGAACACTTAGAGGCCACTGGAGGGTTATTTATTGGCTTAATATCAATATTTTTGCATCTCAGGGATGCAAGAGAAGAGGCCAGAGAAGATGGAGAGAATTGGAATAGCCAGTTGGTGGAACACTCAGACACACACTACATTTACAGATTCAGTTCGCTGTCTTATATAGGCTTGGTTCATGGCACCCCAAGACAATTATAATAGTGACATGAAAGATCACTGATCACAGATCACCATAACAAATATAATAATAATAATGAAAATGTTTGGAATATTACAAGAATTATCAAAATGTGACACACAAGACACAAAGTAAGCAAATGCTGTTGGAAAAATAGGGCTGACAGGCTTGGATGATGCACAGTTGCTACAAATATTCAATTTGTAAAAAAATGCAATATCTGCAAAGTGCAATAAAGCTAAGTGCTATCATTGAGGTATGCCTGTATATAGCCAACAAAGAATCCATATGTGAATACATTTTTAAAAGTCCTCAAATTAATAAAAAATCACTCAATGAAAAAACTGGAAAGAGATATGAGCTAAGTAATGCCCAAAAGAGATACGCAAATGGCCAAAAATATGAACAGACAAATAACTGCACTTTATCAGGGAATTAAAAATTAGTACTATAGCAAAATATGATTCCACTTGTTTTAGAACAATAACTGCTTTAAACTTGATAATACCATGTGTTATTATGTATGTGGAGAAATGAGAACCCTTATCCAATTATGGTAAAAAGATAAAGTGATAAAAACCACTTCTGTGAACAATCGACAATGTATATACTAGGCTGATGATGTACAGATCCTATTTTCCAATAATGCCATTCTTGGGCACATACCTTAAAAAACTCTCATATACATCATGGTATCAGGGAAGAATTTGAAGCTTCATGTGTATCTGTAAGGTTTATTTTTAAAAAAAGAAAAGGAAAGGAAAGAAAAGAAAAAATATCTGAAGCAAATTTGCCAAAATACCATTCTTACATTTCTTAGCTGGCATAATGACAATGTCACAGTGGTATCATCTAATAGTGAGCTTCTATCTCGACCTTGTCCAAAGCTTTCACCATCTTCAAAGAGAAAACTGAAAGGAGATTTAAAAAATAGTTAATTATTTTAATGAGCACAGAAATCTATTATTTCTTCTAGGAAATAAAATTTATTCTACATCATCAATCTCTTCATCAAAAGAAAGAAATTTTAGACTGAATGGATTAATAAAAAATGTAGCTGTTGGTCAAAATTTCTCCAGACAATTCACATTTAAAAATACATGTTGAGTTGGCATAAATACAGTATATAAATATAAAGTATTTTAGGAATACAAAAGTATGATTTACACTCTTTGTTCACACAGGTGCAATGCTAAAAATACTCTCCTGATACTATATAACTGTGCTCCTGAGGAAGTTTATATGAGCAAAAACTGATAAAGGGAAGAACAAAGAAATGCTAAGGATGATCATTTCTCAGGGGAAAGAATGCTGAATAATAAATGCATGAATTCTGTTTAGAGTTTTAGAGAATTACTTTGAGAATTTTTATATCCTTCAAACCATTTATTCTTGGAATTTCCATCATTTTATTTCTTGATTTTCTACTTAATTCATTATATGAACAGCATAATTAAAGTTAATATTTAAAAATCAGTTTAAGGGGGGAAAAATAGAGAACAAGTGCTATATTCAAACAATTAACCTAAAATTTAACACATGAAGAAAAATATGATCAGCAGATGATTTCTACAGTTACTTACAAAGATCAAATCTAGTCCTGAATCTAAAATTAAAACTTTAAAGCACTGGTGGAAATGCAAGAGATTCAGGTTCTCTACTTCTTGAATAAATATGAAGAACAAGAGAACAGTAGCAATTTTGGCCCATAGTGCTGCATTATCATTTAACTTCTAGGTAATTTATAGGATGGTGTCCAAGACCTTACACAGTTCTGCAGATTTTTTCAACAGTGAATTAGCACCATGATGCTCTCTAGACAAGTAATGATGTCACTGAGCACATTTTAAAACATTATTAGAGGTATAAAATAGTTCCTCAAAAAGGGTACACTAGCCTAGTTTATTAGCTCTCTTAAACATTACTGTCTTTTCTAATTTGCACATTTTTCATTTATTGATCACCAATTACTGTGAGATATTTCATAATAACTTTATTTCAAATAGATCATAAAGCAAATTCTTTATTAAAAACAATCTTTATTAAAAATAATAAAAACATTGATGGGAACTCTGCAATTAGAAACTCCAGCCAAGAAAACAAGCTATTGACTTCAAATTGCGTTCATAATCACTTTGTTGGAATGTCTACCAAAAGAAAAGAATATCAAATTTTAAAAATGTCATTACTAGATTTTTCTCATTTCCAAGAGAAGTTTTCTTTCCTTACTTGGGGAGAGTGCAGATAGGTGGTTTGGATCGAATGATTTCCTTATTCACAAGCTCTTTTTCCAAGTCACCTCCAGCTAAACACCATAGGTAATACACTTCTTCAATAGATCTTTCTGCCAGGTAATCACTGTTTATATCTATTAATGGCAAATTAAAAAGAATCATAGTTACCACACTTACTGCTTTTATTAAAAGGCAATAGGCAATAATAGCTGACATTTTAGAAAAGTAAAAACTGAAGAACATAGTAAGATTTCCTTTAGAATATTCATACTACAAAATGCACAGAGGATGAAATGTAGATTTACATATTGGTTGTACATTCAGTTTTGAAAAAGGATAATTTTTACCTTCTGTATCAGAGATATATGGGATATATATCCTATATATCTCAGATATATTGAGCTCTGTGGGATAGAAATAAGGGCAAGAAAAAGTGTTTGGGTAAGGAATCAACAAAAATTGCCCCATCCTTTGTGTATTGAGGCAATTGCTGCCTCTTCTGAGAAGTCTCTCTTGATGTCTCAGGTAGGTTTTGCTTCCACTTTACTATGTTCATATTGACCTTCATTTACAATAGCAATTGTGAGACTAAATGTTTGTCTGCCTCCCCATTTGGCATGAATGATACTTGAAGATACAGTGTATGAAACGTAGTAGGAAGTCAATAAATATTTGACTGAATGAATGTTTAGTAAATATTTTATGGCATGACTTATGCCATGATAACTTTTCAGTATAAAAGTACCTTACTGGTGTCCCTAAAAAACACATTCTGGGAGTTTTAATCTTCACCAGAGAAATGAAAAGAGAAAAAGTGATATTCCGTTATAAATGTGGAATATAATGATATGGACCTCCTACCAATAATATGATTTTTTGAGATCATTTAAAATAAATTATAAGCAATATGATGTATAAATATTGGTTTAGTGGAAATTCCATCAGAAATTAGATGATTTGATTTTAGGTTTAAATTTGAGATGAAATAGGACTTTGGTTTGCATAATAAAAAAATTTTTGGTACTACTTCCTTTCCTCAATTCTTAAAGTTCTTGGTCCAAAGTAACTTAAATTTAAAGGATTAAAAGTTTAGTTATATTTTAACCACTTCCAGAATTATTTCTTAATTCTCAGATAAGTATCCATAAAGTCTCACTAATGTAAATACATATATTGTTGATAAATTCAAAAATGAAACTAGGACAAGGTTTAAAAACAAGGCTCATATTCTTTGCCTTAGTTATCATTACCTTTACACAGCTGACTGATATCCTCAGGCAGAGTTAAATCAGCACATCTCAGAGAAGATGAAAACAGGCTGGCAGGTTTGGTAAAGGGAATATATAAGGGTGACACTTCACTGAACACATTGTCCTTCATTAATTGATCCGGGGTTGGCCTTAAGAAACACATTTAAAATGCAGAGCATGAATGAAAGTCTTCAAAATTACCCTAGAATAATGACACATCTTCAAGGGGATAGTTAAAAATCTTAAACAACTTATTAGTATAGAAAATAATAAAGCTCTCCTTTGTTAGAGTCTTAGTAGTCTTAAAAAATAATCAAGCGACTGCAAGTAAATGCTGAATTTTTTTACCTTTGTTGTGCTTTTTGTACTAAATTTATGATGTATCAAAAGTTATTACATACGAGTATCTCCATTGTTTACTTTTAACTTGACCATCAAGTACCTCCTTTACTGAATATCTTAATTAAGTAATAGAAATTTAAACTGATAATACTTTTGGTTTTCTTCCTAGTTAGTTTAATGTGGTATATTTATCCCAAACTATGCTTTTAATACCATTCCTCTCTTCCTAACACATCTTAATAAAGATGTTTTTCTAAAGACAAATTGGAATACATTATTTTCAAATATTACATACATACAGAGTTTAAGGATAACTGTATGGCTAACAGTGACATCATCAAATGAAAATAAATAATACAACTTCTAAGAAATCCTTTTATATTATCAACGATTGTTAACTCATCTCACGGTTTATCTGGGTTCTTTTCTTTTATACATATTTGCCAATAAACCTTTGTTCTCATTTTTTCTCATATCATTTGTATCTCATATCATTTGTGGAACATTCCACAGTTTAGCTGATTTTCTTATTGGAGGCTAGAAAATGAACTAGTGACTTCTTTGGTATATGCTCATTTTCTGACCATGGTTTAATTACTTTTTCTTCTTTTATTACCATATATTAAAACCATAACTAACAGTTACGGTACTGATATAAATTACATATTACTATATGTGTAAATATTCTTATTTAATCCATTAGTATTAAAAAATTAACTACTTATATGTTAGGATCTCAGTAATAATCCCAAACTCTTAATATCAACCTCTTGGAAGGGTGGAAGGTGAGGCACTTCTGCAAAAGATCTATCACATTTTCAGGAAGTTCCTGGTAAATAAAGAGAGAAAAGAACTATTTTAAATGATCCATCTAAAATTTTGTATTATTTAAATGTTTGCTACTTAAGGACGTTCAGACATGTTTTGAAAGTCTTTATTTGGACTTTATACAAATTCATATTAGTTTGTCACTCCGTGAAACAGCAAATATGTAAAGAAATAAACACAGCTATAAAACAGTTTGCTACTGGATCCCACATATGCAAAATAAATTTTCAATAGCAGATTTATGACAAACCTTTATAATGTCCAGACAACCATGCTCTTCAGCCAAAACTATTATAGTGTCATCTACGCAGTCTATAAAAGAGAAAAATCATATGAATTAAAGCTGCTTTTCTAATTTATCAAATGGAAATTGAGCTCTGATAAAATTTTTTTAATTGCGTAATGCAGTTTTGGAACTTGGAGTATTAAAAAGCTTGAGACTTTGTTAACTTTACTTACATGTTTTGATAAAAATAAAGACTTCAGATACTAAGCAGTAATTGAATCACAGCTATTGAAAAAGAGCAGCTTAAATAGTGGGATAAAGGAGTGATTCAAGGAGGTAAAGATTCTCTCTCTCCCTCTCTCTCTCACACGTATTACTCTTTAAAAGGCTTTATTATATTTTTATGATTATAAGACTATTTTTATTACACACAATTTGGAGAATATACACATATTTCTCTGGAATTTAAAGTGCAAGTTTTAGTCTGTAGACTACATTTAGAAATCTCCAAGACTCCTTAATAGTTATATTATCAATCTCTGAAATTAAAGTGGTAAATATGGTAAAATTTTATGCAATTTTGTTTACAATTCATTATTATTTAATATTTACTAATATTATCTTGTACATATCCTTATTTGTAAACCTTATTAACCTGGACACCAATCTGTCACACTTTTACACAAAAGTGCGCTATCTCCTTTTTACCACCCGTGTTTAATTTATTCTACTCTTAAGTAGATTACACAAATTTACAAGTTTGAATTACAAATATTTGTATCTAATATGCATGTAAAATATATGAGGTTGTTATAAGGAAAAATAATATTCTTCCTTAGTCAATACAGTATTCACATATGATTCATCAAACAGAAAGCTCAAAAGTTAAGACATTGTCTGAAGGTAACTGCTACAGAGAAGTACACTTTTATATTCTCATATTTTGATTTCGCAAGTTAGTTTACTTGGCTAGATCATAAAGCTAAGACTGTATCCATGCACGTTATAATTCCATAGTGAATAAGGAAAGATCTATTATAATATTTCAAAAGGCACTTCTTAAACTGTTCTGCTAATGCTTACCACTGATCATTAAAAATTTGAAGAAAGTAAAGATATTTCATTGTATTCACTATTTAGAAGAACACATCCTCAGTGTGCATGATTACAGTCACTAAAGATTATATCTACATTTGAAAGACAATTAATTGTGAGACACTTACCTAATGTGAGCAAAAATTTTAGTCTTTCAGAAATATCTAAACTCTGAAATAATTTTCTTCCCTAAATAAAATAGGAAGAGAAATTTTGTTAACATTTACAACATTTTTCTTATGATGGTCTTTTTTTTTTTCAGAGCTGAAAATGATTTTATTAGGTACTTCTATTTCTCTTTAGAGGTTTTATTATATTTTTTGAGTTAGCTCCACTGAAGACAAATCATTGGTGACAAAACATTTTTTTAAAAGTCGCATAATATTTAACATTTAAATATTTCACATACCTAATGATCATTATATTCTAGCTTGATCTCAAGCATTCTTCACTTTTGAGACTCACTTATACCTGGTTGTCTAGAGAAACTCCAGGCCACTAGGAATCTCATTTGATTAAGAGACCAAGATGACTCCTCGGAAAGATTCTTATCACCCTTTCATCTACCCAATAATTCTTACTTATATATCACAATCCAGGTCATCTGTCGTCTCCATTAAGAAACATTCCATGATGCTCCTTCCTCTTTCCATGATGACTTAGACAACCATCTTTGTGTTCCCATAGCACCTGATATATTTCTTTAAGACACATGCATTATATTTTAATTGTCCCCTATTAATTGGCTTCAAGGGGCTCCTTGGAATGGAGTCTGGAATCAAACACTTACAACTTCAGTGATTATGTGTTGAACAACTACTGTGTGCCAAGTTGGAGTATTCATCCCAAGTCACGTATGTTGAGCAAATTACTTAACTACATTAAGCCTCACTTTTCTCACTTCTAAACTGGAATATTAACTGTACATGCCATGCAGGTTGCAGTGAGGGCTATATAATGTATAAAAAAGCACTTAGCATTTTCTGCACAAAGAAAATACTTCATAAATGTTGGCTACTGCTATGTTTTTCTTATTATAATCAAATTAAACTTATATGATCCTTTAAACAGGCTCAGAAGGAGAAGGCTTAAGAAGATAACTTGGTCTTTATGTAGAGAAACAGACTGCTTTTCTTTTTTTTTTAATAGAGAGGAAACACTTTCTTAAGAACTTACTGAAATAGAACTACAAGTGGAGAGATCATTGAAAAAAGTTGCCATTCTTCTTTTTTCTCAATTTCTTATACTACTATCAATATTAACCTTCTAAAAATGCAGGTTTGATTTCATCAATATCTTGTTTAAAAACTTTAAATGGTCCCACATACCCTATATAACTAAATATATACTTCTCAATACAGCATTCAAAGTCTCCTAGGATATGGCTCCACTATAACTTTTCAGTCTAAATGCTTACTACTTACTACTTACCTACCCTGTGATGAACACACACACAGACGCACACACATAGACACACAAAACAGGTAAATTTGATTACACTGGGCCTACATAGGCCTACAGACTGACTCATGTTATTTCCTTACTAGTAATTTTCTCTTCGTGTCTATCAAAGTTCTACATGGTCACTTCTTGCTACCCACAGGGGGTTGGTTGGTCCCAGGACCCACTCAGATACCCACATCCACTGTTGCTCAAGTCCCTTATATAAGATTGTGTAATACTTGCACATCCTCCTGTACATGTTAAATCATCTCTAGATTACTTATAATACCTAATAAAATGCAAATGATATGTAAATAGATGTAAACCAATGTAAATGCTATGTAAACAGTTGCTGTCATATGGCAAATTCAAGTCTTGCTTTTTGGAACTTTCTGGAAATTTTTTTTCAAATGTTTTCAATCTGAAGTTGGTTGCATTAGTAGATGAAACAGAATACAGAGGGCAGACTGTATCCTTTATTTCATTCTCACTTCTGAATGTTAATTTTGTGAGTTAAAGAATTCAAAATTCAAAATTATTTTCTCTTAGCACTTTGATAGTATTGGCCACTGTTTTCTTGCATTCACACTGCTAAGAAGTTCAGTGCCAATTTAACTGATATTCTTTGTAGGTAATGTGCCTTTTCTTTCTGGCATACTTTAAGATTCTCTCATTAACACTGATAAAGACACCAGAGCTTAGTAAAAGGCAGCTTAGTGTGTTGGTTAAAGGTGTGTAAAGCTTTGGATACAGATTGATGGATACAAATCTGCTTAACTACTTACTATTATGTAACCAGGACAGGTTGTTTAACCTCTCTGTACCTCAGTTTCCTAATTTGTACAGTAAAGACAGTAACTAGATAAACTTTGTAAGGCTGGTGTGAGTATTGATTGAGATAATAGATGTAAATAGATTATACAAGTACCTGGCACTTACAAAGTGCTCAATAAATGTTACCCATTATGTCATCATAGGTCATCTCCTAAAAGTTTAGTATGAGATTTTTAGATATTTATTGTTGTTGTTGTTGTTGTTTGTATGTTGTGATTTTTTTCTCTTGTCTTGCGAGGTAATTAGTAGGTTCTTCCAAACTGAGAACTTCACTCTCTACTTCTGGTACAAATATTAGAATGTCTGAATCTATATTCCCTGTCTTTGAAAATTTCTTTTATATTTTCAATCTCTTTATCTCTTTGTGTCATATTCTGGGAGAATTAATCAGTGTTTAGGGTGTCCAGTTTCCTATGATTCATCTATTTAGTTCTTTATTTATTACAAATAGATATTTTTTTCTTAAAACTCTTAACTGGTTCTCATTTTTTTCAGTAAATGTCCTTGACTTCTAGTTTCTATATTTCTATATTTGTTTCATGAATTTAGTTTTTTCCTTTCTCTCTTAAAAAACACATAACATTTATTTTAGAGTCCTTTCTACTGTAAATAGAATGTAACTTCTATTCATTGTTTCTTTTTCATAGATGTCAACTTCAGATGCTTGGTGTTTCTCAGATATGCATTCATCTTTTAATACAGAGTTCCTATACATCTTTTGGACTATGGAAACTTCTGGATGGCAGAGTAGCTGTACTGACATTCTGGTGATATGGCAAGAGCTTCCTAGCAAAATGTTATAGCTTCTCATCTATTTCCTTAGAATTTCTAGTGTACCAAAAGTTCTTTCTGTTAAATGTTGGTGTGTTATTAATTTATATCTTAATATTTTGTATGAAATCTAAAGATTTGATGAGGTAGAGGAAGATTTAAGCCATCCTAAAATTAGACTGTCTAAACTTTCGGCAGCACATAAAATGTCATGAAGCCTCTGTGACGGTATTAATACTTACTTTCTTGGAATTCACACAGCTCTCTGGTGTTTATCTTCAAAGTTTATGAATTTACATTAAATTATAAGCTCTTTGACAGTGCATCTAAATCACAGTTTATTCCTACTGCATTGCTATATACACAGTAAATACTCATCAACATTTGCTAAATTGAATTACTCATACAAGGCATACTTAGATCATTAGTAAAGAGTTTAAATACAGGTGATGGTAATAAAAAGAAAACGCTATACACTTCACATTTACACTTATATATATACTTCACAATCACATTCCAATAAAATCCTTCATTTAGGCTATGATTTTAAACAAAAATAAGATTTACTATCATTTTAAACCAATGAACAGTAAGATGGTCTAGATGAAGGACAGCAAAGAATCAGAAAATCTGGCATTTTCCCTTAGAAAAAGCAATACCTATGTGTACGCTACCATGTTATTATGAATATTTTAAAATCAATAATAAAATCTAACATTTATAGACTGTTCACAATTCAACACTCAATTCTTTATATACATTAAGTATCCAAGTGCTTTATATACATTATGTCATTTAATTTTTCCAACAGCTTTACAATATAGATACTATTACTATTTATGGGAGTGGAGCCAAAGCCTTAAGAAGTTGGGTTAGTTACCCTAAGTCAAACAGCTATACTTTCCTGCATTAGATTTCAAACCCAGTTCTCTCTAACCACAAAACTTGGCTATTATGCATTACTACTTCTGTTGTTGAATTAATTCTCAAAATGCACAAAATGAAGAAAATTATGTTAACCTAACTCTTAGATACGGTAAATATCAATGAGTTAGTACTTTCAAAATACTTTAAAAACCCCTTGGAAGACAGAACAATAGATGAATAATAAAAACATCTGCCTCTAAATACCTCATAGTTCAAGTAAAGCAGATAAATGTGACACATGCTATAACAGGAGAGCAAAGAAGATAGGGACCTAATCCTGGCAGGTGTTTGGACGCAGGATCGACAAAATGTTAGTTGTCCCTCAATATTATTCTCATTTTGAACATGACCCTGTTAGTTGACCTTCCAAATCCGTTCTTGCACCTATATGTGGTCACATGAGTAAACTGTCACTAGTGAAAAGTACAAAGTTGATTTTTGCAATTTTACATCATCTTCTTAAAGATTCATTCCTCTCCTTTTCCTATGGCTAAAAAAGATGATAAAAATATTTTTGGAAATTAGATGGTGAGAAGGGTGGAGCCAACCCTGACAAGCTAGGTTTCTGCAAGACACTGTGGAACAGAGCCCACCCTAACTTTCTGTGACAGTTAAATGAGGAATAAAAACATCTATGTTCTTTAAGTTACTGTATTTTTAATTCTTTTGCTTTTAATAGCTGTGTAGTCTTTTTTACCTTAACAAATATAGAGGATATTTGGGGAAGGCCTCATAAAAAGCAAACTCAGTTACAAAGTGAGTCTTATAGGAGACAGAACAGGAGAGAAGGTATTTGAGGAGGAAAGAATACCACAGAAGAGAAAGAGAGTATGAACATACCAAAGTGTGTAAGCAGTTTCAGTGTAAGCTTTTCTAAATATGTTTAATCTTTTCACTTAGTAAAGTGTAAATTTTTCATACTTAATAAAAGTGTAAACATTTTTAGATATATATACCAACATAATATACAAAAAAAATCATTAAGCAGGATTTTTTAAAAAGTAAAATTGAGACTTAAGTCTTTTCTCCTTATGTCTGGTCAATTTACAAAGCAAAAACATATTATTACTTAATAGCTTTTCTATCCAAAAATATTTTTCTAATAAATATACAACTTATTCTTATTAATTTATTATTTCTTCATACATACCACACAAAGCTCAAATAAAATGATTCCAAGAGACCAGACATCTGATTTGGGACCAGAAGGCAATGGTTTTTCACTTGGTACATGATCACTGGTCTTGAAAATTCCTTGTGCAATTACTTCAGGTGCCAAGTATGATGGATACCTACAATGATATATTTTAAAAATGAATAATGACTATAAGCTATAAACGGGAAAAGAAGTATGCAGTAGTACATTTTTACTATCAGTACAGTAAGATCTATGCAAAAGCTCAATGCAATAAATTAACAATTCTTGCTATGAAGAATTCTAAACTAACCATCATAATACAAGTCTTTATGTCTAGTAATAAAGAGCAAATATATGAGTCTCAAGTAATTTAAAAACTATCTCTACAACATTAGTTCTTTTCTCTGCTTTCCTCTGTGTTAACACATTGTCTTCTTGCAGTCTTCCAGGCTTCCAGGTATTTTCCCTTCTTCCTTACTATCTTTTCTTTATACTTAACTCTTTTTTTTAAAACAGTTTTCTTTATTGAGTTATAGTCATTTTCCAATGTTGTGTTATACTTAACTCTTATTTAAAGTACATTTTATCTCTGAAAACAGTATTTCTTCTTTTGAATGCTAGGAATGTCAAAATCTGTAAAATATATATAAATTGAAAAGTAAGACTCTTTCCCATCTCTGTACTCCAGTCACCCATATATGTTCATGTATGAATAAATTTGACCGCCCATCACCATTGTCCCATAGGGAAGCATACACAACACACACTATTCTGTACCCTTTCTTTTTCACACAAAATATATTATGGAGATCATTCTAAAAAAATGGTTTCCTTGGGGAAACTTTTGCAGATGTACACAATATATAGTATTTTTAGCAACACTGTTTGTAACATTAAACAATCTTATGGTTACTGGAGTGGGAAGGAGGGGATAAACTTGGGAGTTAGAGATTTGCAAATATTAACTACTATAGATATATATAAGTAAAAAACAAATTTCTTCTGTATAGCACAGGGAAGTATATCCAATATCTTATAATAACCCTTAAGGAAAAAGAATATGAAAATGAATATATGTATGTATATGTATGACTGGGGCATTATGCTGTACACCAGAAATTGACACAACATTGTAAACTGACTACACTTCAATAAAACCTACCTTTAAATTACAAAAATAATAATAAATAAATAAAACTTCTGACTGGTGATCTCTAGAAGCATGCATGTGACTTTTGCCCCCAGAATTCTAATTTTCCTTCCAATCAAAAACTGATCAAATTAATTAATAAAAGTAATAAGTCCTAGGATTCTTTTTTAAAGTAGATTATCTCCTTTCAGCAAGAATCCCTTCTGTAGCATAGTACTTTAACACCCAAAGAAAATTACCAGAACTCTGCTGTGAGTATTGACTGCTGAAATAAATATAAGTGCTTTTCATCATCTGTTTCATGTTTTAACAAGGTATTAAGCTACTGGCCAACTGAAATAAATGTCCAATTTCTAACTCTTTACAATATTTTGAAACAGATGTTAACATTTTACTTTGTTGTTTCTTAATATTTGTCTTTTGAATCTACTGCAAGCTTCTTCTGGTGTAAATGTTTTCTTTCATGCCTTAGCTGTTTGATCACTTTATTTTTCCTGGCTAATGTTTCACATTTTCCTCTTTGATACCTTCTGGTCAGACCTTTTGGGTCTAAGATTTCAAAGTAAGCCAAACCAAATGGCACACAAGACCAATTCAATCCAAGCATTTAAAATTCAAACATTAACTCTTCAAAATGCTTTATGTGCTTTAAGAAAAATCACTTGCTTTCTTCTATTCATCACTAAAACCCAAGCACCTTTAAGTAAAAGGTACAAAATTAAAGTAATTTTCGTTTGTTTTGTTTTTAGATTTCTCTCTTATACAAACTTAGACAAAATGAAGAAGCACGTTTACTGCAGCTTCTTAAAAGCTACTCAAAAGGCAATGATCACATGTGATGAAGATACTAGAGCTCTGCACTGAATTTTAATTATATGCAAAAGGTTTTTTTAAACAAATAAAGGATAGGCTATTGTTACAAAATTTTGTTTTCTTGAGTGTGAAAACTGTTGCCTATGCCACAAGTTTTGATATACAAAACTATAAGATTATGAATGTATGCACATTAATAAGGGAGCCATCAAAATAGAAAATTTCCCCATTAAACAATGAGCTTCTTCAAGATGGGAACTGACTTTATCCACTTTTGTATATCAAGCAGCCAAAAGAAAAGGTGTTCAATAAATATTTTCTTAATAAATAAAGGAAAGAATGACTAGACAGTTTAAGGTTATTAGTTATGGCCTAAGTAGTAAAAATTTTAAGTAAGAAAACCTATAGTCTAACTTAAAAAGATAAAAGGTGATTTTAAAATGAGACCTTTTTTTTAAACATCTCTTTAAACAGTATTCTCCTGCAGAAACTCACTCCATAACTCCAAACCACAATTCCCAATAATGGAGTGATAGGACTTTAGAGAGCCCGAAAAGCAAAACACAAATAGATATTATTAAAAACAATCACACAGTAATTGGAAAATATGCTTAAGATCTCTAGATAATAGTATTATATCAATTTTAATTTCCTGGTTTTGATAATTGTTTCATGGTTCTGTAAGAAAATGCTTTTCTTTAGGAAATATAAACTGAAGTATTTAGGGGTTAAGGGCCATTATATATATTATAACTCTTAAATGATTCAGAAAAAAATTTATACATACACACATATATGTGTAAGAGAAAAGAAAGAGATGAGACAAATGCTGGGAAATATCAATTTCTGAGGAATCTTGAATGAAGGCTATACAGGAATTCTTTGTACTATTTTGTAACTTCTATATATCTAAGTTAATGTCAAAATTAAACACTTATTAAAGAATTATATTATTAACATGTTTAAAAAGCAACTACTAAATATATAAAAAAATCTGTATCAAAAGCACACAATTGAGTACAGGATGAAATCAACTTTCATTCCTTTCTGGAGGCCAACATAAATCTGGAATTCCATGTGAGAAGTGATCAAATAAACCTCTCCAAAATTAAACACAGATTTTCAGGTATAGAATCTACCCCATTACCTCTGATATCTACAATGATTTGATTTAAGCCTTAATGTACAATAATATCTTAGAGAACAGGGAATTAAACTTTGCAACATTAGAGAATAATACGAGAGTAATTTTTCAGTCTTGAGGAACACACATTATCACTAAGTGAGAATCTGGGCAGACTTCTTGACTTATATTTATCTAGTTCTGAATGAAATAAAATCAACCAGTAAGCATTAAAGGTGAAAAAGGTAAACATCAGGGAACTTTTGTATGCTGGCAAAAACTTACTGTCTATTCTTTGAAAAATATGTGGAAATTTAGGATATATTTAATTTAAAAGAGCTAGTTTTATGTGAAAAAGTAATATAACTAATAATTAACAAAATAGATACTTTATCAAAGATTACAAAGTTTAAGACAGAACTCAGAAAACATACATATTCTTACCCAATTGGGAAATCAACATCATCACCATATGCTGTCATGTGGTAAAGTCCAAATTTAGCCAGTTTAACATGTCCCTACAATAGTAAAGAAAAAAACTCACTATAAAACATTTTAATATTATTGGCAGGGAAAATTATGAACATATATTTTATAAGTAAGGAAACCATCATATAATCATATACATTAATAAAAAATTATATTTTATCAAAATTTTATTAAAAATTCTCAGTATTTGAAGTATGCTTTATATTCATTACAAATATATATACACACATATATAATAATATAGATATCAAAATGACTAACACTAAAAAATTTTTGCTGTTTGTCTTTTCCAGGCTTCTTAAAAAATCAAAAAGGGTCTCATTTGTCTTGAATCCTTGCTTAGTATATTTTGTGGTAATTTTCACAAAAGGGTTTTTTTCCCAGGAAGTTGAGACATTCATAATGTTATAATTTAAACCTGACGTGGATGTTCTTAACTTGAAAAGATCAGTTCACAAATCAGCAAGGCATTAGTGAATCTGTTCAATTTCCAACACTTTTTTATACTGTTTGAGAATAACCATAATTATCACAAGTTGGGTCCTTAATAAAAAACAATTATAAATTTCTTAAGTCTTCTATTTTTTTCCTTTTAGATTTTAAGAATTAAAAAAATTTAGTCAATTGTAAAATTGGTTTGTTTTCTTTTCCTCAAGAACATTATTTCCCAGCATTATAAAACATTTATATTCTAAAACAATTCAGATTGGTTAGATACTTTACTACCATAAGCATGAAATTAATTAGTATCATTTTATCTTTATATTTTAATATTATAGGGTGAGTGTATTGAAAGTCTGGAAGACAATCAGAGAAAAAGAATAATATCACTAATACAGAAAATAATTTTCCAGAAAAAAATCCTCATAGTTATTTTATATGCTCATAAAAAAGAATAAAATTATGATTATTTCTGAAAAAGTATCACCCTGCTATCCATAATTCTCTTAGCAGGGTTGACTAGTTTCTTATTAATCCCTTAAAAGATTTCCAAGCAGAGAAGCAGTACTCCAATTAAAAAAAAGAAGCTATGTATGAACAGCTGGTAAATAAAGAAGATAAGTGAGAAATAAAATAGAAAGAAGGAAGTAGGAAAGAAGAATAAAATGGAGAAAATACACTGCAGTTGTGCTATGAGAAAAATATTCTATGTAAATAGACAATCTTACTTAAGATGAAAAGAAATTCAGAGGGGTAGACTGGGAAGCCACAATGCTTATCTTTTAGAAAATGTGTGAAAGGAAAAACAAAACATGGTATTAGAAAATGAGTTTCACACAAAAAGAATAACACATGTGAAAGACACATGGATTTATATAATTTAAAGTTACTTTTTTTGTTGATCACAAGTATATTACATTTCATATAGTCTTTTCATTATGAATAGTATTAAAACATATTCTAATTTTACAGTCCCTCTGATTAATACTGTGGATCTGATTTCAGTAGCATCCAACCTGAAATAAAAAAAGAAATTACTTAATGAATAATTTGATGATTACCTTTCTATCCAAAAGGATATTATGAGGAGACAGTGCCCGGTGTACTATACCATGTTTGTTCATATACTGTAGGCCCTGAAGTACCTCAAATGCTATGCACAAAACTTTTGAATAGCTACAAAAGGAAACAAAAAGTCACAGATTAATAGATCAATTATAAAGCAGATATAGAACCTGCTTTACAGAATAAAACAAGGTTCAGTGATAAAACTCAAAGAATTATATCTTTATTGTTCCTCCTCTATTCAGAGAAAAAGAAGCTATACATTTTCTAAAATATCTACTTGCACATATTTTTGATTTTCTGATTACAACAGAGTTAATCTGACAAAGAACCTATAGTTTCCTAAAGGTTAATTTAATAGCAGCATTTGTTCTTCTAGGAAGGGAGTTTAATTTTGGTGGTGTGCAAATGACCTTCTGCAGGTTTGGCTTTGCCAAATTATCAGGACAGTTTCAGAACATATGGCAGAACTAAGTCAATGAAAACCACCTATCTTGCTCCAGACAAAATACCTAAAAAGAAAAAGAGCTACAATATATTTTATGGCAGATAGACATGAGCTTACTTTCCACATCAGTCCACAAAGCAAACTCTAGTAATTTATGATTTATCACACATTTCTCTTTCCAATCCTATTCTCTCTTAAGCCATCATCTACAGGGAGGCCTAGTTTCTTTCTCTTTCTCCCTCTACCTTTCTCTCTTTCTTCTTCTGCATTTTTTAAAAAATAAAACATCATTCATATAGGAAGTTAGGAAGAATATACAGAAAAGTAAGGGAGACTAATTCAAACCCAATACCCCAAACCACCAATATTAACTTTTGGGTATAGATCTCTTTTCTACTTTTTTTTTTTCACATTTTAAACTACACTTAAAAAAAATTAGTATCTTCTGGTAACCACTAAATTAATTTTTATAAAAAAGTATAAATAACAAGCCAACAGTGACAATAAGATGAAATTATAAAAAAGTAGCCAACTTAAAAGCAGGCAGAATAAAAGGAAAAAAGAACAAAGAACAAATGAAACAATTAGAAATTAATTAACAAATTTTAATTCAGATATATCAATTATTAAATTAAATATAAATGCTCCAAACTCACCAGTTAAAAGATAAGAATTGCCAGATTGGTAAGAATTAAGACTCAATTGTATTCAGGTAACAAGGAACCCACATTAAACAAAAGATGTAAATTAAAAGTAAAAAGATGGAATAACAGATCACTGATTGTCATGGGCTTAGGTGGAGGGAGTGGTCTGACTACAAAGGAGAATGGGAAAAACTTGCCTGATAGGATTGTTCTATTCTTAATTTTGATGATAGTTAACAGGACTGAGTTCGTCAAACTGACTAAACTGTACACAGTAAAAAAGGGTAAATTTTAAGGAATGTAAATTAATCTCAATAAACCAGACATTAAATAATAGGCTGAATAAAATTTTTTAAAATAATGATTACAATATGACTCCTTCCTCTAAATTAAACCATAAGAATGACTCAGAGATGAAAAGTTAAAATCTCCCTCTCCTCCCATCCTAGTCTGACCTTCCAGAAGTAACCACTATTAGCAGTTTCTGTTTTCTTCTGGTGGCTAGACTTTTACTTAATGTAATTAACTCTTCACTATGCAAGATGATATAATTAACATATTTCCCATTTCCCTTTTCCAACTCTCTGACTTTTATTATGTATACTATATTTACATTATCAAATTTTTATAAGAGATAAAAGAAACATTCACTCCTTTCCTGAAGACAAAGCAAATAAAAAAGTAAACTTACAGTATGACTATACAGCAATTAAGCTCTAATGAGAAAAAAGTAGGGAAGAGAAGAGAGAATGTGGGGTACCAGGTTGCCATTATACATATAGTATGAGCAAGGAAGGCCTGGCCTCACTGAGGTGACATTTTTGCAGAAAGCTAAAGGAAGTGGAAAAAAAAACCATGCACCTCTCTGGGAAACGTGTGATTCAGAGGGCACAGTAACAGTCCTGAACTGGGTGAATGTACGGCAGTTAAATCAAAGACAAAAACGCAATGAAGCCACTGTGCATGCAGTAGAATGAGCAAAGGGTAAGGTTGGTAGGAGATGAAGTCTCAGAGAGAGCAAGAAGCCAGATCATGTAGGGCCATCTAGCCCACTGTAAAGCCTTTGCTTTTACTCTGAGACAGATGGGAAGTGATTGGTACATTGCTGTATTAAATTTAGTAAAAATTCACTGTTGAATTAAGTAGAGAAGGAAATACTAATCTAAGCCACCTAACCCCTAGCTCTCAAGAGAAAATGGCTACCATCAGGATTTAATGGATACCGTATTTTTGTATTATAACTCTATTCATGAAGATCATCATTAGCTACCATCATTTTTTATACCTCATATTATTCTTTTTGTGTTTTTTTTATTTAGCTAGAATACATTCATGAGAAAAATTTTCATAAGGGTTGCAGGAGTAGACATTTTAAACCATGGCATGTCTTAAATGTGTTATTCTTGTCTTTAAACTTAGAATTTCTCCATGGCCTTCAAGTGTTCTTCATTAATTGTGAGAAGTCTAACATCAGTCTGATTCTAATATTGTTGTAGATATCCTGTTATTCCTTTCTGGAAGCTTGCAGGATTCTTTTTCACTTTATCCTTAGTCTTACAAATTTTAGCCTAGTATGTCTAGAGTGTGGGCATTTGAGAATTTATGCTTGTAAGTAGCAGGTATGCCCTTTTAATCTGAAGACTCACATGTTCCATTAACACAAAAACATTAACAAGGAAAAGTTGATTTATTATGTCTTTGATTATTATCTCCTTCTACTGTATCTTTTAGTTGGAACTCTAAGGGGACAGATGAAAATTGGATTTATTCTCTATATCAACTTTCTTTTCATTTCCTATGAACACGGCCTTGGCTCTATTCTATTCTTTAATTTCCAAGAATAGAGATAATTACAAAATTTCCTGTTCTGTTCTCTAGCTGTTCCTTTTCAATAGATCCTGTTCTTTGGTTATGAATATATTATTCTTTTGAGTCTCTCTAAAGACAATTATCAGAATTCTTTTAATTCAGGAAACGAAAAAGTATGTTATCTTTTAAAATTGAAGTATAGTTGATTTACAATGTTGTGTTAGTTTCAGGTGTACAGCAAAATGATTCAATTATATATAATTTAATATATGTATATTAAATATATAAACAATAAATAATATTAATACTACTATACCATATATTATATATTAGTATACTATATAATATATAAAACTAAATGTTATATATTAATAAATATAATAATTATGTTACATTATATATTTAATATATTATATTATTATACATGTAAAATATAAAATATATATTTATGTTATATATTACTATATAATATGTTATATGCTATTACAATAAATAATAATAAAAATAAGTACACATGAATATGTATAATTGAAAAAATATATGTTATCTTCATTTCCTCTGGGGTAAATTTTTTTTTTCTCCTTTGGCTCTCTCAAACTATTTTTTCCATCAAGTGTCTGGTAGTTCCTGGCTGTCATATTTTTATAAAGCAATAAGTGGATATCCTCCATGAAATGTGTAAAAAAGAAACAACAAAAGTTACTATTTATAAAGAATGCTTATTTACACTGATCTGTAAACTATTTCTCTTTATCAAATAGTTCCTCCCATATGAAAGTGCCACAATAGGCAGTCTTGAGCAAATTAGAAATGTGTGAAACAAGTATAATTTATAAAGTTTTCATTAATATCTGCAAAAAATAAACCAACTATGTAAAGGGAAAGATCTAAATTTTAAAATAACTACAGTAACACTGACATGTAAGTGTCCATGAAAGAATTCAAATTTCTCCTCTCTTAAAAACTTAATATTAACTAGCAAATAAAACATAAGCTCATTTGCTCATGAGTAAATCTCTCTTGTCTTCTCTCTGCATCTTTCTCTGTCTCTGTCTCTTTTTCACACACACACTCTTTTCACAAAATCTTTTAAAGCTGATGCTGTATTCAATTGTGACACTAGAGGACCTCAGTTGCACACTATTTCAATAAGCTGTCTCATGAAACTAAAACCAAACCTTTAAAATGACTTTTCCATAAATAAGTTCTCAAACAGATGAAAACAGAAGACTGAATCTTCTACTTTCTCTACTTGCTCTTGCTAATTGATTATAATGTATAATTGGAAAATATTTGCACATCAAAAAACACATTCTTGCTATTATTGAGCTGATGAGCATTTACACTGAAATAATTTTTTAAAATTCAAACATATAAAGCTGAAGCTCATGATACACCTTTTCTTAGCCATTACTTGACACTATATGTGAATTACATTTAAGAAACTCTACTCTTCAGATTAAATCAGACAGTAAATCAGATTTGCTTTTCTGACCTTTTGTGCTCTTAAGATTTAATTTTTTAATTTATTTTAAAATACAAGGTAGAAAGGAGAGAAAATATAATGTTATTTTCTATAATGAGAAGAAAAACAATCAGTATTTATGGAATTTTGTATACTTGTTTGTTTTTAAAGCTATATTTAATATTGTCAAGAACTTAGATTATGAAATCTTTTTAAAAATTATTTTGAAGTAGCTAATGTAATTATGATGCAACAAAAAGGGAAAAATTATATGCCCAACAATAGTATGTTACAGTTTAATTGAATATGGACTTGAGAAGGAGAGCTAGGATAAAGAGAATGGGATAAACACAATTTAAAAAAAAAGTTGGAAGGGACCACAGGATCTTATTCTACACAATTTCCAAGTCAGAATCTTGTTAATAGAGAAATCCATCACTAACGTGGAAAATATAAATTAAACTCCAAGTCAGAAAACATTCTCTTTTGAAATTACTAATTACTACTGTTACTCCCATAGACTGGGAAGGTAGCATTTACTTTGTTACCATTGTGCCTGACACTCTGAAAAGCTTAATGAGCCTAAGAACTCTTGGTGATATAAACACATAGACATGACCAAAGTAGCTTTCTAAAACAATACAACTAATAATTTCTGATAAAGCAAGGTTTTGAGATACTTTCATTTATATTTAAACTCATCAATTAAGTGGCTATGAGCTGCTTGATACCTGCATGTTTTCAG